TATATATATATATAGCCAGTGACAGGCTATGCTCCTTCTTCCCCATTATCTGTATTATTGGCCTGGGTGCTTCTGCCCCGAGGATGTCACATCCCATGAAGAGGCCCAGATGGTGCATATATAGATGAGCAGAGCACCTGACAAGTTGTTTCTGGGGCTGAGGGGATCTGGCAGTTTCCTATTGTTATGTGTGACTGTCTGAAGGCTGGTTCCCAGGAGCTCTTTACATGCTTATTATCTACAGCAGGTTACCCTGGTGTACAATCCTCTACGGCTTGTTAATTCTGCTCCTGTGGTGGGGGCGGGGGGACTCAGATGTGACCCACTATTTCTACCCATGCCCCCCAGCTATCTCCAGTAGCTGCAAACTTTCCCATGCTGGGCATGTGAAGGACCACAATAGCCCAACAGGAGAACAGATGGATGTGTGAGACCCTCAGAAAGCTATGTGCTGCCATCATGGCCAGCAATAACGCAGATGAAATCAAATGTTTGCTAGGTACAGTGATGACCCTGAGTCTGAATCCTACAGTGAGTGTGCTGCTGTGTCTAAGCCCAATGTGCACTTAACAAAGGGCACTAAAGCTGACTCCAGAGACAATGCAGCTATTCCTGACAAGCTGGGGGTACTTATGAGCTTAATATCTTCTCCAATGTGATGTTAGTGAGCTTGAAACTTCAAAAGCGCTTCAAAAAGCTCTATGTGGAAGGCAGCTATGTTACATGAGGCAGCATGAGGCCAAGGATGTAAAGCCAGGATCTACAGAGCGGCACAGCTCTCTGGAAAAGCTGAGCTGGTATAGAGGAAGAGGCCCAGCCTTTCAAAAAAGCCCAGTTCTGTGACAAAACCCAGCTCTTCAGAAAAGCTGAGCTATGTGGAGAAGGAAGCCCAGCCTTGCAGAGAAGCCCAGCTCTGTGAAGCCCAGTTTTGCAGAGAAGCCCAGCCCTGTGGATAAGACGAACTGAGTAGAGAAGCTAAGCTCTAGAGATAAGCTGAGCTGTGTACAGCAGCCAGGCTGTGAGAAGCCAAGCCCTGCAGAGAAGCTGGCCTGTGAGGAGAAACTTAATCTTGTGGAGAAGCTAAGCTGTGTAGAGAAGCCCAATCCTGTGGAGAAGCATGGACTTATGGAGAAGCTGTCAGGCTGTTCTGTGTACCATCCTGGTGCCAAGAGTTGAACGCACCCCCATGTTTCCTGATGGATCGAGCGAGTCATTAGCACATTCTGAAGCCCTTTTATGGCATTTTGATTGACTGCTAGCACCAGCTGGATAAAAATTACCAGGTGCATTAAAAGGTATAATTACTTGATACAGTCTTGGGTTGGATATTATTAATCTTCAGTGGGAAGCAGAGAGAGAGGTGCTATGGTAAGAGAGTGACAGTCACCTTGAGTCCATCTGTAAGCTGGACTGATACGGCCTGTACCCCTGTGTCTCAGCCTCCTGGCTCAAGTCTGAAACTACAAGATCACTGAGAACCTTGCTCAAAATTAGCCCCCAGAATTCATCATCTGGTGACATTTCACATGCCCCAAAACTGATTGGTCCCCTAGAGCTGAGTCTCAGATGGAGTCCTGCAGTTACAATGTGGGGGTACCTGAACAGGAAAGAGAAAATTGTCTCTGTGGCTGAGCCACATGTTAGGACTGCCACATCCTCAAGGTGCACAGACTATCTTCTGACCCCCGAGCTCCATCTGCAGTGATATGTGGCTAGCTCAAGGCACTTTCCTCTCTGTATGACATAGCTGCTGTCATATCACACTGGGTAGTATACCTCTGTGGTCTGCAGGTATCCAGAGCCAGCCTTTATGACCTTGGCATCTGGGGGTAGCACACCCAGCTATGGTGCAGGAAAAAAGACGTGCAGAGCAGAGAGACCACACCAAGCTGAGGAAGAGGAGACTGATGAAGGGGGTGGCTAGCTCTGCCCTCTGTATCCTGCTGGAGGGACCCGGACTAGGAGGGGAAGACCAGCTTCACTCTGCAGAGCCCTGATCCATTGATGAGGGAAGTCAGCAAGCCCTCTCTGTGGAAAGTCTTCAAAATCACGTACCAGCTTCCTCACATGTGTCAAAGTCATGAGAGGTAGTGATGAACTCGAATCATCAGGCTTAGTAGCTGGTGTTTTTACCAATGAGCCATTTTGCCAGTCCCACTAGTCACTATATTCTGTGCTGTAGAAACTGTCAGAACAAGGGACTTTTAAATCTGGCATTTATAATAACATTCAAGCCAGACCTATTTGGGAGGCTGAGACAGGAAGATCACAAATTCTAGGTCACCCTGGGCTACAGAGAAAGTTTAAGTACAGTCTTGGCTGTACAAAATAAAGTCAGAGGAGGACTAGGAATGTAGTTCAGTGGTACAGCCCTTGCTTAACATATTCATGATCCTGGGCTCAATCCCTACTACCACCAAAAAAAAAAGAAAGAAAAGAAAGGAACTTATAAAAATATCATAACATCCAAAACCAAGAAGTAAGAAATTTTAACAAAAGAGCCTTGTCTAAATTCTTTGTGCTATGAGACATTGCTGGGATAAAAGGGGACTTAAGTCAATGGGGGAGTGTACCATGTTCATGGACCTGAGTTCTAAATGGTTCCTAACTATCCTACAGATTTCCCAGAAAGATTTTATCAGGAATTGATAAACTGATTCATAGATTAATACAGAAATGCCAAGACTCTGAACAGCTACAATGGCTTTGTGTAAGAACAAATTCTAGGAGGCAGACTGCTTGACTCCATAACAATCAAGTTGCAGTGACATAGTGTCACCAAGGCCTAAGTGCAAGGAGCTTCAGATGGCCTCAGGATTGTGTTGAGTAAGGGAAAACTGGCAAAAAGGAACATACACCCATACTTCCATTGTTCTGGAAGGCTCCAGAACAGGTAAACCATGGCTGGCCTCTGTGTGAGGCCACAGCAAGAGACATGTGGTGTCCTTGTTAGGCAATGGGGACATCTGGTGTT